TATCACTGCTTCCATGATGCTTAGCATATTTCATGATATCAGTCCTGAGTTAGACACTGCCTCGAAATGTTTAGTAAATAAATAAAGGTTTAAACACTTAGCTCTATAATTCCTAATAATTGAAACTAAAAATGAACAATTTGACTGTGCCCGAGTGGCTTGCATGAATATATATATATCTGGACTGAGTGTGGATCGGGCTGCACGCCGCAGCGAATGCTACAATGATATTGCGCTTGGGCTGTAGGAGCCCCTCCGGTGTCTGAACCCCCACAGTGAGCGCGGGTACCCAAATTGATCGGGTTGCGTGCCGCAGCGGTCATGTGCATTGCATTGCATTCATGCATTTATACCTATTTGTCTTACTTGTCTTGGTATTGTTGTTGTTCCACCGTTTTATGTGCTGAATAGCTGATTATAGCTTTATATTGTAATATTTCGGAATTTCTTACTTTCAGCCATTATATATGTTTATTACTCACTGAGTTGGAAGTACTCACTTTACTCCCTGCACCTCGCGTGCAGTTGCAGGTATCGTTCACCCGGTAGCGGGTTATTAGCGGATTGAAGGCATTGTTATTGTAGCTGAGCAAGGTGACTGCCAGCGTTCGCGGCACCGGATGTTGTCTTTTGTTTTCCAGAAATTTTACTTGTATATATTTATTGGCCTGTAGTTGTGTTAAGGTTTCCTTAGATGCTCGTGACTTGTGACACCCCGGTCGGGTAGTAATTAACAAATTTCTAGTGCCATTAAGTTGTATCTTCTATTCATTTATGTTTAATAATTGTTAGTGAAAGGATTTGGGTTAGTTGGCTGGCCTTGTCTTCATGAGAGGCGCCATCACGACCGGGTATGGGAATTGGGTCGTGACATCACTATATTTCCCATGCTCCTCATGCCAGCAGAAATTATACATCTCTAACCGCGGTAGAAATTATCAAGAAATCTACGAATCCCCTTGTGCACAAAACCGAACCATCAGGACTGACTCTTTCCAACTCAACCAAGCTACACAATCCATCAAAACCTAAGAGCATTTCCACGAAACACCTGTGGAAACCCACCGCTTCATAAGCACCCAAGAACCGATCATATCCATTACCATGCCGATCCAGCTTACTACCAAGTTGTCGTAATCCTCTGAGTTCCTTCCGAATTACCTTCAAATTATATGATTCCTTGCTAGTACACCACTATCCTTAACTAAAACTTGACCTACAAACTTTAACGTAAAACCACACCATCTAAGGCTCATAAGCCGCTGAATACTCTCTTAAATATCCCCAGAAGTACCACATTCCAAATGCCCACTCTGAAAGTACCTAAAAATCAATCTTTTCCTCCTTTATACTGGACTACAGAATCCGTAGTCATACAAAATTACCGCAAGTCCCGGTACCGCTCTATATAAATAATTGATTGATTCTAGCGGCATATAGATCCGGAAAAAAAAATTCAATTGCTACATATACATTTCTGAATCCATAAGAATTCTTTCAAGAGCCCTCTACTCTTCTCAAATCCAAATTGCACTGCCTAAACAAGCCAAATGACACATGTCCCATTAGCACAACAACACTCAAGGGAGTAACCCAACCTTAATGCAACCAAATAAATTCCTGCTCCATGTACATTACATCTTTCACCAATAACAACTCAAGTCATTCCATGATTCTTATACACCCATAAAGCATAACACATCCCCTATCAAAAATTTTCTTTGTTTGGGTCATCCTCGACCTTAACCTCTGTAAGCCATAACTGATTCACCAGTATGCCTCAAACTGGAACCAACATAGCACATAACCGTACAATCACCTGATCAATAGCAGATTCCCCGACTTGGCTCAAAGCCATAGATCAAAACACACAATAACTCATAATGCCTATACTCTATTACTGCCATAATACCATAATGAGATTAAACTCAATCACCCATAAGCTCATGCAACACAGACCATCTAGTACTTCAAATCTTCTGCAGGTCTCGCATTTACCCTCGTAACAGCCAAGCTCTCTCTCTCAAGCGACCCAAACACAAATTGCAATACATATAATTCACTAATAAAAGAGGACTCCCAACCAACGACATAAGGATCACACAAATCTCAGAATACTCTGTAGGAGATAATCCACTTGCTTAGCCTCAAACTGGTATCTCTCTATACTCTCCCATAATCATAACTATTACCCGGTCACTTAACCTTCCTGAGTCTGAACTCATATCACAACATGAAATTTACTTCATTCCACAACTAGACAATATGAAAAGATCCTTCAACACACCCATAACTCGGGCTACACGTCAAACCACGATGAAAATCAGGTACCGGATAGTTCTTACTACCCCCAAGCAGACCCTTCTCGTCTTATTCAAATTATTTGAACACATCTCATAGTTACATCATACTCATCACGTAGTCATCCAGCCATCACTTCCCCTAATAGGGACACTACCGAACATATAAGTTCAAAAAGCACAAGCTCACACAATCAGCACCTCAATGCTCAAGCTACAGGAAAAACCCGGCCTCAAGTCCTCCAGAATGGCCCAACATCATTGCACAGAAATCACATATCGCCCCTCGATCAGGTGATCACAAGCCGTCGATGCATACCTGATATCGAGCGTTCATGTGCGCATACGAACGCGTGGAAGGAATTCAAAGAGTTACATTTCCAGCTGAATCAAGGATGCACGATAAGAGTTCAAGAATGTGAAGTTTTTCCTAAAGATTCTGCAACCTCCGAGGATAAGCACAGACGTCTCCGTACCGATCCACGAGACTCTACTAAACCTGCTCATGACTCGCGAGACCTATGTAACCTAGGCTCTGATACCAACTTATCACGACCCTAAACCTAGACCCGGTCGTAATGGCGCCTCTCGTGAAGACAAGGCCAGCCGACACAAACCCCAAGTTTAAATAACAGATATAATGATTCATAATCAAGTCATTAATAATGATAAATCCTAATATAAAGCAAAATATATCAACTGCGGAAAACAAAACCCAGTCCGATATCGGGGTGTCACAAGTCACGAGCATCTACTAAGGTCTGAATACAGCTTAGAGTCTAAAAAAATGTACTAAATAGAGTCTAAGGAAGACAAGAGGGAGAAAAGCAGTGTTGCGAACGCCGGGCAGCTACCTCGCTAAATCAGAAATTTAACTCAAAATTGCCAATGGGGCCCACGTCTCGGAATCCGACAAAACTCACAAAATCCGACAACCCATTCAACCACGAGTCTAACCATACCAAAATTACAAAATTTCGATAACATTTCGACCCTGAAATCTATCCAAGAGGGTTTTCAAACTTTTCCAACTTAAAATCACCAATTAAATGTTAAAAACAAATGATGGATTCGAGTAATCTAACCAATATTGAGTTAAGAACACTTACCCCATTGTTTTCTCTGAAAATCCCTCGAAAAATCGCCCCACCCGAGCTTCATTGGTCCAAAAATGGAAGAATGGGACGAATTTGGACTTTATTCTGCTTCCCAGGGGTTTGTTCTTCGCGTTCGCGACCTTCTCTCGCGTTCGCGATGAACAAATTCCTCATCAGCGATTTCCCAACTTATTCCGGACAGCCTTTAGTATAATTGTCATAACTTCGTTTGCACAACTCCAAATGACAAATGGTTTGATGTTCTGAAAACTAGAACCCAAGGTCTATAATTTCTTAGGTTGCTCATTTCCTGAGTCATTATATATTGCGAGATATAAGCTTCAAAAGTCAGCCTTGTGCAGCAGAGATTTTTGAACTCTCCCCGGACAACCTGTAGTGTAACTACCATAACTTTTCGTACAAAAATCAAAATACCAATTAATTTACATTTCCTTAAACTAGACACAAAGGGCTACAACTTTCGTGTTTGGATCATCTCCAATTTCCTTATACATTGTGAGATATGAGCCTCCAAAGTCAGACCTGTGCAACCGAGATTTCCTTCTTCGCGAACGCAAGAGTCTCTTCGCGAACGCGAAGAACAAACTTCCAGAAGCCAAATTCTTCTTCGCGAACGCGATTTCCCTACCGCGAACGCGAAAAGAAAAACTCTGCAACACTGAACTGAAGAAATCTGCAACTTTCAAAACAAGAATTTGATCCGTTTAACCACCCGAAACTCACCCGAGGCCCTCAGGACCTCAACCAAACATGCCAACATATCCCATATCATCATTCACACTTGTTCCAACCTTCGAAATGCTCAAAACAATATCAAAACACCAAGATCACATCGGATTCAAGCCTAAGAATTCCAAAAACATCCAAATTCCGCTTTCGATCAAAAAGTCTATCAAACCTCGTCCGAATGACCTGAAATTTTTCACACACGTCACAAATGACACAACGGACCTACTCCAACTTCCGGAATTCCATTCCGACCCTTATATCAAAATCTCACCTATCAACCGGAAATCGCCAAAATTTCAATTTCGCCAATTCAAGCATAAATCTACTCCGGACCTCCAAAACACATTCCGATCACTACAAGAATATTGGTCTTTAGCGAGGGGAAATTTTATCGTTAAAAGTCCAAATCCGGTCGCTATAAGTCAATAACGACCGAGAAAAATCCGGTCATCACCGGTCGTTAAAAGCTCCGACGTTAAAAAAGTTAACGACCGATTTTCAATCCGGTCGTTAAAGACGCTTTAGCGATGGCATAATTTCCGGTCGTTATACATCGTTTTTAGCAACGGGATTTTTCTCTCGCTAATTTGTCATCCAATCGTTAAAAGTCTTCAATTACAACAGCTAATTTGGTCCTTACAAGTGCTTTTAGCGACCGAAAGTCCCTTCGTTAATTGTATAATTACATTTAATAGACAAATTTCCCTTCGCTAATACTTAATAAACTATTTGAGAAACCTATTGTTAAATAGTTACGGTGATCACATTCCCTTCGCTAAATGTGAAATTTTAACATTTCTCGAATAGTAATACTTATTTTATATGCTTTCATACCCACACCAGAAACTTTTGAAAACAAACCAAATAATTGATATTTGTTAATACAAAGAATTAAGCATCACATTACCAGAAAGCAATCTAAATAGTATAACATCATTTTTAACAATTCCTAAAAAGAGAAAAAATAAAATTACAGCATATGTACATAAGACATGAGTGCCTTCAAACCATCCCTAACATAACAAAATTCTCTTGTTCTTCAACTTGCTATGCACTTTCTTCAAGAATCGGTTCTTCGGACTTCAAGTTTTTAATCTGTTAAAATAATAAGTTTATGTCAGTTTAGTAACAAAGAATAAACAATTAAAGAAGAAGATCATATTCATTAAAGGCTACACTGATTGCCATAGTGAATAATACAATCATCAGATGACATAACAGTAGACAATATTATCGTAGAAAAATGACGCATTATATTTCCTAATGTTCGCGGACAATGATCAAAAGACTGATGATATTCTAAATCACACAATCCTAGTCATACTAAAACCTGCACAACGAAATGTCATATTCTAGTAAGCAAATCCAATATAGAGCTTTATGCAATTCTACACATAATGGGGGCAGGCAATTGAGATAAAGAAAAAAAAGCATATAGAAACTTTTGAGAAAGAGTCGATAATAACTTCAAATCAAGTCTCAATAAATCGATGATTAGTACATGACAACCAATATAAAAAGAAAACTAAAACGCAAAAATACATATTAAAAAACAAAAGAAGGCTCTGCAATCTAATACATCCATGTAGAAGGGTAGGTTCCACATCAGTAACAAATTTCACATAGGTAAATATGTTATAATTGACAAACGTGCTCATGGAGTGGGCTTGTGGAAGCGCATTTGAAACATCTGAGATGATTATTATAAAACATACACTTCACAATGGGTAATGGCATGAGGATATAAACTTGGCAGAAGATATCCCCCAAATATAATTTGGCAGTAAATACTAAAGCAACAGTGGCACAACATCACAAAGAGGGTGGGAATTATCCTTTAGGAGAAACTGTGAAGATTGGGAATAGGGAAAGTCGCCAATCTGCTGGGAAAATAGAAGGGGCCAGAATATGTCTAGAGGAAGAAGCTGCAGTGAAAGGACTAATAAGAATATCAAAGGGATCGAAATGCACCGTTAAGTCTGGATACAGAAATTTGTGCGACATGCAGAATGTTGTTATGCAGTGGCCTTGGTAGATAATCTGGAAGAGCAAAGCATCAGTTAAGGTGGGCAACTTTTGTTGAATAACTACACATGAGCATGTTTGACTTGTGCAGAACTTTAGTGTAAAATGTTTAAATAGATCATTATGTTAAGGTGAGTAGTATAATGTTTGAATGATGATTTGAAATATGAAATAACTGAATTTGTCAAAAAGATGTCACATAAAGTTGGAAATAATATAAAGTAATAATAGTTTATATTAATTTGGAACTGTTGGAGGGAGAAAATATATTTTCACTTAAGGAAATAGGTGAAACTTTTCAGGAAGGACCTAATGGGGAAGTAGGTGTAACTAAATGATGGAGAATAATGAGTGTAAAACCATTCTAAGTTTTCTAAATAGTTTCTGATTTGGTCCTATAGAACTCTTGTAGTCAATATTTTTCCTGGAAAAGCAATAAAAAGGAAATTGGATGAGTGATAAACCATATACTACCAGTTCACCTGTACTTTTGAAGTACCTCCTTGGTACTTTGTTAGTAAAATTTACTTTACCTTATTTTAAAAAAAGATAAGTTCTCCCAGTTCACCTTAGGAATTTGGGAGAACTTTTTATCCCATAATGTTCTTTCTATATCTTTTGGCTCTACTTGCATAACTTTCCCCTCTTTACTTTAGTGTCATAAAAATAAATAATCTCTTACATTACTTTCCATTCAATAATTTAGTGTGTCATAAGAGTAAAGGTAAATTCTTGAGTTAGATATAGATCTGTCTTAAGAAATGGAACATCCAACTTTCAACTGTTATGATTGGTGCTGGCACTTATTAACCAGTTCTTTGCTAATCTTCTCTTGGTCACGTCAATCTTACTGAAATCACGACTAAATGCAACTTATAAAAGAGAAAATTGAAAGCTTCTCCTTTAATTTATTCAGGTAAAGAAATTGTACCAAAGAGACGTGACAGAACCCTTTCCATGAACTTTTGCCAGGTGTTCAGATTTAATTACATTGACAGTATGTTTAGTGACAATTTCCCGTATAACATTAAAAGACGATGCAAGGAAATGTACAAACCTGTAAGAATTTTTTGCTGGGAATCAAGCTTTACTGTAACATCAAAACGTCGAATGGCTAATACACGACAAAGATATCCCTTTAAAGGCTCCACTTGGATTCTTAGAGACTGACCAATGGAAAACATCCCATCTTTATCCACGCTTGGCTGTTTGATGAAAAAGGAACAAAAGTTAAAAGGAATAAATATTAAAATTGGGAGCAGTGCCTTCATTCGAGACATCAAATAGAAAGAGAGGATTTATGAGCAGACTAATAAAAAAACATAAAGTTGCAGTTATCATCCTTTGCTCTCCAAGATTTCTCAGGCGAAACAGGGGATTTAGGGGATGATGAGAAATCTGCAAAACCTGAGAGACCGGGCTCACTTCCCTGATTAAATATAACAAGCACAAAAAAATTGGGGGAACAAATATGGGTATCATAAAAATATGATTAGTTCTAATATGCCCCGAAAAGTACAAACCTTCTTATTGGATACACATCACTGCCTGTAAGTTTTTCACACATCTGACCTTTGACACAGAGATAACCACTATTATCCTGCTCACTTTGGTCATATAGAAAGACGTCTCATTTATAGATTTGCTTAACAATTCCCTGTCTATTCTGCATTTATTAACCCTACATTACATCATTTTAGAAGACTAATCAACAAATAAAAAGATGCTACTGCTTCCATGAATATCAGTCAAACGTTCCAAGGGGTGACCTAGTGGTCAAACAGCTGGAGTAAAAACCTTGGGAACCAAGGTTACAAATGCCAGCAGAAGCACTAGTGGATTATTCACATCTACCTAACCTTTGGTGGGCAGTGGAAGGAAATAGCAAGTCGCTGGTGGATTAGTCAAGGTATGTACAAGCTGACTCGGATACTATCATGATCAAATAAATAAAAATAAAGATGAATAACAGTCAAACCTTCAAGGGACCATCCAAAACTCTAACCATATCACCAACTGAGATTGTATTGGTTAGTTGATCTTTCACAGTGAATAGCTTCCTATCAAAAGATGCACGCTTCAACTCACGCAGTTGAATGCTCGCTACCACAGCTCTCTCTGAACCATCTTTCATTATCTGAAAAATAATCGCATTGAATAAGACATCATTCACCCAAAGAAAAATAAAGCTAATAGACTTGCATATACCTTAAAGATATCATCTTTCTCCTTGCCAATACTAGTGTCTAAATCATTCCTACTGTAATAGCATAGAAAAATGATTAAACAAAAATGACAAATACAGGGTGCAAATTCCACATTGGTAAATAGTAAAGACAAACCTACCCAAAAAATATAAGATCATCTACTTCAAAATTGTTTTCCCTGCTAGAGCTTGAAGAGCCCTCTCCTTTGTCACCTCCTTTCTGACCAACCTTGAAATCATTTATGATTCTCATTTTCTTCCGATCACCCTAAAGCTGAGTAAGCCACTCTACATCCTACGGTCCATCAATTTTAGAAGTTTCAAACTTCGGGAGCTCAGCATCAGTAGTCATTACACCCCAATAGCTCAATGAATCAGTGCCTCTGAATAAATGTATTTTAAGAAGACTAGTCATAATTATAATTGTATTAAGGATGATAAGCAGCAATTTTTTTAATTAGCAAAGATGATAACAGCAAAGAAAATTGAGGTCAAAATGACCCAAAGCACAATTACCTATAAATCATGACCTGCACTGTCCCTCCCTCCCTAACACAGCTTTTGGTTCTTTCTTTTTTTTCTTTTTCATGATGGGGAGGTGAAGAGAAGTAGGGAGTACGGCGTTATGCTTCATATCTTCATATTTACAGAGTAATTCACATTAACTGAAACATAAAATATTTATGAAATCGAGTATAAACTGTTACAAATTAGTTGGAAATGGCTTGTAAGTCTATTCTTGGAATCAGCACTTTCTTCCGTGAATCATTCACTGCCACAACCTACATGACCATGATGAAACAGTTAGCAAGCACTAAAAAGAAGGTGCTTTGTTATTGTTGTTTAATTTCTCAGACAAATAAAGAGAGGTCAGTAAGCAGCATTAACCAGTAGAAAATTCATATTGCATTTACATATATGATAAGAGAAATATAAATAGCAGCTAGCTATAAAAAGTACTTGCGCCAGATCGCCCTTGTATATTCCACTTTTGACACGTGCCCACATACCCTCAGAAATCCCATAAGACTTGCTCTCGACAACAATCAAATGAGAAACATCATTCTTTGGAACAGGTGCCACTCTACTTGAATATATACTACAAAGGCCTTTACATGCCTATACAAGGAGCTCGGCTTAGAGAATGTAAAATGTCATTAGAGAATGCTTTCATCAAGAAAAGAATGACACTAAAGAATGATCAGACTTCCACAGAAGCCTCAAGACCAACTTAAGAAATAAGAATGTCATGATATATCCAAAAAAAAAAAGGAAGTAGTACCTCGTAGACATCAGATTGTTTGTCAGCTTCAAAGTCAAACCCGATCCCTAAAATAATATGTTCTCCAAACCAATTGATCAGTTATGCTATTAAAAAAATTTCCTTTCTTTCAAAATCAAACCCAATCCCCAAATATAATTTGCTCCACAAGATGAATACACATATTTGACATATAAGATAAAGGCGAGCAAAATTCAATGAAACAAAAAAGAAACTTTTATCAGCAATACTCTTAAAATTTGGATGTAATTATATATTGAAAAATATGTAATTATTACCAAATTCACCACTTTCTTGTTAGATTAATATAATTTTGGTCGAGACCCTTCAGCTATATCTAGAGATTTGTGTTAGTGTTATGCTTTCTCTGTTCGTGTAAACTTATTACGTAATTGGGATTAAAGCTTTGAGGAAGAAATTACCTCTCTTTTCCACATATCCCATGTCATTCATTGAGGTTTGTTCTTTCTTCAGTGCCCCCACACACCCCTAAACCCCCACTCCCTCTTACTTTTTATTGTGTACTCCTTTTTCTCTCTATCCAATATTTGGAAAACAGAGAGATAATTGACACACAGAAATGCATACATGTTGAATGGAAGTTTAGAGCTTACCTTGACAAGAAGGAGAATAAAATCCTAGGATGCAGAGAAGACACCAACTTTTGCAGATCTTCAATCGCTCAACCTGTGCTTGTATTCTTGTAACTGCAAGTTGTATCGTTGTTGACTGATAAAACATAGAGAAGTATTTTGTTTAGGAGGGTTGGTGACGGGAATTGAGGGGATGCGTGGGCTGATTGTGGGTTGGGTAAAAAAGGAGGGAAAAACTAGCGCCTATTTATTTGTCTTATTGTTTAGAATTTGTTTTAACGTCTGGATTATTTTATCTTTAAGGGCGGAAAATCATCCCTTCGTAAATATTAAACAAAAAATAGCCTTTAACGATTGGAAAAAAATCTGGTCGTTACAGATATACTTTTAACGACCGGATTCATATCCCTTCGTTAGAATTTTGTCGTTAAAGGCCAATATTCTTGTAGTGGATCACGCTCCTAAGTCCCAAATCACCTAACGGAGCTAACCAAATCATAAAAATTCCAATCCGAGATAATGTACTAACAAGTCAAAACTTGGTCAACCTTTCAAATTTTAAAGCTTCAAACTGAGAACTGATCTTTCAAATTTATTCCGATTATCCTGAAAACCAAAACCGATGATTTACATAAGTCATAGTACATTACACGGGGCTAGTCATGCCCGAGAACTGGCGAGCGAAGTGCAAAAGCTCAAAACGACCGGTCGGGTCGTTACACTTAGCTTGCTTATTATAATTACTGAAACGTAAAGGAATTGGCTAATAAATCTCTAACGTTGGCTTGCCTAGCAAGTGTGATATTGGGCGCCATCACGGTCCCGATGGTGGAGATTCCGGGTCGTGACAAGTTGGACTAGGTTGCCTAGGTCTCACGATTCACGAACAGTCTTGGTAGAGTTTGGAGGATCGGTACAGAGACGTCTGTACTTATCTCCCATAGGCTATAGAGTTTAGGAACAATTTCACTTCTATTCTTCCTTATCGTGCGATTTTGTTCTCTCAGTGCTAATCGAACTCTTCTAATCTTGTCTTTCACAGATGGCGAGAACACGTACCGCGTCTTCAGTTGAGCAGCATTCAGAGCCCCTAGTGGCAGCACCAGCGGGGGAGCCTCAGGTAGAGTTTGATTAACGAGCTCCAGCCAAGACCGTTCCAGCAGGACCAGCTCAGGTCCTAGAGGGGTTCGTTGCCACCCCAATGCTTCAGGATGCCTTGGTCCGCATGGTGGGCCTTATGGAGAGTTTGGCCAAGACTGGTGCATTTCACATGGCACCGGCCGTCTCGCAGGCTGGAGGAGGAGCCCAGACTCTTGTTACTCACACTCCGGAGCAGATGGCTCCCCAGTATCAGACTCTAGCAGCTCATCCAGTCGGAGTAGTTCAGCCAATTGCTGCGGCACAAACAGGTGATGGGTCAGCTATGTCATCTGAGGCCTTGTGGAGATTGGACAGGTTTACCAAGCTCTTCCTAGTCCATTTCAGTGGTTCTAATTCAGAGGATCCCCAGGAGTATCTTGACAGATGTCATGAGGTTCTTCGGAACATGGGTAGATTGGAGACCAATGGGGTCGACTTTGCTGCGTTCCAGATGACTGGTTCCGCCAAGAAATAGTGGAAGAATTATTTGTTGACCAGACCTGCAGGGTTGCCTGCTCTTACATGGGACCAGGTCTCTCAGCTCTTCCTAGAGAAGTTCCTGGATATCACCATGAGAGAGGAGGGCCGTCGTCAGTTCGAGCGCCTCCAGTAAGGCAGTATGACTGTTACTCTCTAAGAGACCTCTTTTGTGGATTTGGCTCGGCATGCTCTTCTTTTGCTTCCCACCGAGGGAGAGAGGGTGAGGAGGTTTATTGACGGACTTGCTCAGCCTATCAGATTGTAGATGTCTATGGAGACTGGGAGTGAGATTCCCTTTCAAGCGGCAGCCAATGTCGCCAGGCGAGTCGAGGTGATTCTTGCACACTGAGGTTAGGGGTCTGACAAGAGACCTCGTAATTCCGGTGGGTTCAACGGTGCCTCATCTGGAGGCAGGGGTACTTTTGGCAGAGGCCATCCTTCTAGGCTATTCCATTCAGTGCTTCAGGCATCCCATAGTGCTTTAGGGAGTCGTGGTCCTTATGTGCCTCCTTCTAGGCAGCCAGCCTACAGTGCACCACCAGCTCCTATCAGTGCACCTCCTATTCAGAGTTATTACCATGGTCAGCCGGCCCGTTCGGGTCAGTCTCAGTTTCCACAACCACATTATCATGATGGATGTTTCGAGTGTGGTAATTATGGGCATATCAAGAGGACCTGTCCGAGGTTATTGGGTGTTCCGCCACAGCGGCAGAGTTCTCATGCTATGATTCCGGCACCGGGTGCACCACCGCCCGCTCAGCTAGTGAGAGGTAGGGTCAGACAGCTAGCGGTGGAGGTCAGGCTGCTAGAGGTGAAGGTCAGGCCATTAGAAGTGGAGGTCAGGCCGCTAGAGGTGGAGGCCAGCCAGTAGGGGGTCGTCCCACGGATATGGTTCAAAGTGGTGGGACCCAGCCCCGATGTTATGCTTTTCCAGCCAGGCCTGAGGCTGAGTCATCCGATGTTGTTATCACAGGTACTGTTTCAGTTTGCAGTAGAGATGCTTCAGTTCTATTTGATCCAGGGTCTACCTACTCCTATGTGTCATCTTATTTTGCTTCATCTTTAGTTGTGCCTCATGATTCCTTGATGCCCCTGTATATGTGTCTACACATACGGGGGATTCTATCGTGGTAGATCGTATCTATCGTTCGTGTGTGGTTATTATTGGGGGTCTTGAGACTAGCGTAGATCTTCTACTTCTCGATATGGTTGATTTTGATGTCATTTTGGGGATGGATTGGCTGTCACCTTATCACGCTATATTGCATTGTCACGCAAAGACGGTGACCTTAGCCTTGCCGGGGTTGCCTTGATTATAGTCGAGAGGGACTCTTGGTCATTGGACTAGTAGGGTTATCTCTTATATGAAGGCTCGACTTATGGTCGTGAAGGGGTATCTAGCTTATTTGGCTTATGTCCGCGATTCTAGTGCGGAGGTTCCTTCCATGGATTTTGTGCCAGTTGTTCAAGAGTTTCCAGAGGTATTTCCTGCAGACCTGCCGGGGATGCCACCCGATAGGGATATTGACTTCTGTATTGATTTGGTTCTGGGCACTCAGCCCATTTCTACTCTGCCTTATCGTATGGACCCGCCAGAGTTCAAAGAGTTGAAGGAGCAATTGCAAGATTTGCTTGATTAGGGCTTCATTAGACCTAGTGTCTCACCCTAGAGTGCGCTCGTGTTATTTGTGAAGAAGAAAGATGGGTCGATGAGGATGTGCATTGATTACCGGAAGTTGAACAAAGTCACTATCAAGAACAAGTATCCATTGTCGAGGATTGATGACTTATTTGATCAGCTTCAGGGTGCCAAAGTATTTTCAAAGATTGATCTGAGGTCTGGCTACCATCAGTTGAGGATTAGGGCGTCCGATGTCCCTAAGACAACTTTTCGGACTCGGTATGGGCATTATGAGTTCCTGGTGATGTCATTTGGCTTGACAAATGCCCCAGCAGCATTTATGGATCTGATGAACCGGGTATTCAAGCCTTACCTAGATTCTTTTGTGATTGTGTTTATTGATGATATCTTGATCTACTCCCGCAGTCGAGAGGAGCACGAGCAGCATCTTCGGATCGTACTTCAGACTCTGAGAGACAGCCAGCTATACGCTAAGTTTTCAAAATGCAAGTTTTTGTTGGACTCGGTCGCCTTTTTGGGGCACGTTGTATCGGCAGAAGGTATTCGGGTGGATCCTAAGTAGATTAAGGCAGTTTAGAACTGGCCTAGACCTACTTCAGCCACGGAGATCCATAGTTTCTTGGGTTTGGTAGGTTAATACCATAGGTTTGTGGAGGGGTTCCCATCTATAGCATCCCCGTTGACCAGGTTGACCCAAAAGGGTGCCCCATTTAGGTGGTCAAACGAGTGTGAGGCGAGCTTCTAGAAGCTCAAGACAGCTTTGACTACGACACCGGTATTGGTGTTACCCACAGGTTCAGGATCTTATACAGTATATTGTGATGCATCTCATATTGGTTTGGGTGCGATATTGATAATGGGTGGTAAGGTTATAGCTTATGCTTTGCGGCAGGTGAAGATTCACGAGAAGAATTATTCTGTTCATGACCTAGAGCTGGCAGCCATTCTTCACGCACTGAAGATTTGAAGGCACTATCTTTACTGTGTGCCAAGTGAGGTATTCACTGATCATCGGAGCTTGCTGTATTTGTTCAATCAGGAGGATCTCAATTTGAGGCAGAGAAGGTGGTTGGATCTATTGAAAGACTATGATATCACCATCTTGTATCATCCCGGGAAGGCCAATATGGTGGCCGACGCTTTGAGTAGAAAGTCAGCTAGTATAGGCAGCCTTGCATATATCCCAGTTGGTGAGAGACCGATTGCATTGGATTTCCAGGCCTTGGCCAACCAGTTTGTGAGGTTGGATGTTTCTGAGCCCAGCCGTGTTCTAGCAGGTTACTGGTGGAGATGATGGAGTTTTGAGGATGAAGGGTTGTATTTGTGTGCCCAATGTGGATGGCTTCATGAGTTGATTCTTGAGGAGGCCCATAGTTCCTGGTATTCCATTCATCCGAGCGCCACCAAGATGTATCAAGACCTGTGACAACATTATTCGTGGAGGAGAATGAAGAAAGATATAGTAGCATATGTGTCTTGGATAAGGTCAAGATTATTCAGGATCTACTTCGTACAGCTCAGTCCAGGCAGAAGAGTTATGCCGACCGTAGAGTTCGTGATGTTGCATTCATGGTCGGAGAGAGGGTGTTGCTCCGGGTATCACCCATGAAGGGTGTAATGAGGTTTGGAAAAAAGGGCAAGTTGAACCCTAGGTATATCGGGCCTTTTGAGATCCTTGAGCGAGTGGGAGAGGTGGCTTACAGACTTGCGGTACCACCCGATTTATCAGCAGTTCATCCGGTGT